GTGCCCCCACCAAGTCGAGCAAAAAAGCGGCACGGCCGTACCATCCTTTTCTCGAAGCAATTCAGGCCATTTTCGACCGCCTGTAACTTCGTTGTGGATAAAACTAGAAGGCTGAATTTTCATTAGCTATGCAGGCATTGTAAAGACACGGTATATTTAAAATTTCATTCAATTTGAACCAGTAGTTTAATAATTATAACGGGTCAAAGTTACTTAATTTTGTCACTCACTGACTCACTGACTCACTGACTGACTCACCGATCATCAAAATTCTAAGGCACTTCTAGCAGACCTAGAAGCTTCAAATTTGGAATATAAGTAGTGTTTGGTGTATGAATCAAGGAAAAACTAAAATATTTGGGGGCACGGTAGTGCAACCGCCAAGTCGAGTAAAATTTTTCAATTTCGGTCCAGTTTTCTAGATACATAACTGCTGTCTACAAAATACAAAAAGAAATGAGATCCCATCAAAAACAATACTTGTCAAAAAAACCAAGTCTCGCAACTCAGTTGTTCTACGGTAAAAAGTTGTGAGATCCATGTAATACCAAGTCCAGGCCAGGAAATCTTTAACGTTTTACATAAATATATTGACTTGGCCATCGCATGAAAACACGTGTAAATTAAATTATTTAGTGCGATGGCCAAGTCAATAATTTATGTAAAACGTTAAAGATTTCCTGGCCTGGACTTGGTATTACATGGATCTCACAACTTTTTACCGTAGAACAACTGAGTTGCGAGACTTGGTTTTTTTGACATTATATTGACTGTACAAATAGCGAACTTGATGGCATGTGGCATTTTCTCAAAGTCAACATGTGGGCATTTTATCAGCATTGGGTCAGAGACATAATCATGATATACGCCCGTATTCACAAACGATGCCTGCATAGGTAAGTGAAGCAGCAAATGGATCGCATAGCGTTGAATAGAGCTCTGTGATTGGTTCATATGTCACCCTGTGCGTCCACGCGCACTGTGAGACCTCATAGTAATGTTTGTGAATACGGGCGAGAGAGTCATCATCATTGCCTTAGAGAGAATTAAATCGTTAATGTTAATGGGGGAGGCCGTGTTCAGCAGTGGACGTCCTATGGCTGAAATGATATTGAGGTATGAGGTTCATTTATAAGGAAAATAATATAACTCTTTCAGATGTTGTATTGTAAGCTGAAGATAGTAAACACACACAATTGGATAAGAATCTGCATTTTAGCCTACATGCCGCTAAGTATAGTTCGCAAATTTCAACGCTACGCGATAAAATCGCTCGCCGTCAGCCGTCCTATTTGGACTACCCTTATCACGGGCAATTTGAGCCTAACTTGTCCGCACAAAAATTCAATGCCTGCTGTTTGGCGTTATCGCAAACACTTTGGGGACAATATTGCGTGATAGTGTTTCCCGGAAGATTTAAAATTTAGACGAAACAAATACATTAGGATTTAGGGTGTAGGAGTTACCAAAAACTTTAGCAGTGAGGTAACATTTCAGCAGGCACATTTTCACGAGTTTAAAACTTTCAAAAAACCTCATAAGTATTTCAAACAGTTTTTTTCTGGAATTAATAACAATGATTCATTTAGATTTGTAAGGAGTCAGATCAGCGCCTATCGCAGAATGTAAGCAATTTTTTAATATTAAAAGACTGTTGCTATTGAGATATTAAAAGATGTTTACCTACGTTGCATGGATTTCTTGTGAAGATTTGTTAGTTTCATTCGAATAGTCCTAGACTTTAATTAAACGTTTTTTCCCTTTACAAATTAAAATAGATTTGAAAAATATAAGTAACTGTTCGAGCGACCTTTTTCACATTATAAATTATGTTGTCTGTGTGTGTAATGTAATAATTATGTTAAAAAATACATCAACTTCGTAAACATTCGTAAAAATACCTTTTTTAGGGTTCCGTAGTCCTGACAAGGACCCCATATAGTTTCGATATGTCTGTCTGTCAGTTGGAGGTTTTGCTTGGAAACTATTGGCACTAGGGGGAGCTGTAATTTTGTGGAGGTATGCACAATAAGCATTTCTAGTAAAACTACTAAAAGCAAAAAATGGAAGGTTATCAAAAAATCTTGCTAAAATGGATAATTATTTTAAGTAAATCGGGAAGGAACAATTTTTTTTTTTTTTTGCGCTCATCTGCAATCAGTCCCAAACTATAAGCAGATTTGTTCCATGCAGTTTTAAAATGTTGAAGGAGCTCCCCAGCAGGATACTCCTCATTCACCATCTGTCACCAAGTATATCGTGGCGCTTCAGTCGTTTAGTGTAGCTGATGGTTGCCAACGCAGTAGCCAACTGATTTGGGTGATTTTCCAGTCGCGTTTTATATTTATTCCCTGTCAGCTTTAGCTCCTCCCTAACAGTTCTCATGCTCAGAGCTTCGTGGATTTCAGTGTTGGTAATGAACCATGGTGCATTTGAGATGGTTCTTAGGATGCCATTCTGCAGTCTCTGCACTATGTTTATGTTAGAGTCACTAGCACTTCCCCACAGCTGTGCGCCGTACATCCATATTGGTTTCAGGATCACTTTGTATATCAACAGTTTGTTGTCGATCGACAGTTTGGAGTTACGTGCCATTAGCCAGTAGATATTCCTAAACCGTATATTCAGCTCGTCTCTTTTTGTTTTGATGTGTTTTTTCCAGGTCAGCCTTTTGTCCAGATGCATACCGAGGTATCGAACAGATTCACTCTGTGGCAATACATTGCCTCCCATTTTCACTGGAGCGCAGCTTCCCCTCCTTAATGTGAACGTGACATGCACGGATTTAGTTGTGCTGGCTTTTATTCTCCATTTCTGGATCCATTCGTCGACTTTGTCAAGGCTATTTTGCAAGACGGCGGATGCTGCAATTGGATCCTTGCTGCTTGCTAGGATTGCAGTGTCATCAGCAAATGTAGCCGTTGTTACATCTTGTGTTTCTGGGAGGTCAGCAGTGTAGATAGTATATAATACGGGGCCAAGCACAGATCCTTGTGGAACTCCCGCCATTACATCTTTTATAACAGACAGTTCTCCGTCCTCTCTCACCTGGAAAATTCTGTTTGTGAGGTATGACTCCATCAATAGGTAAAAACTATGCGGTAGGTATGTTTTTATTTTGTAGAGGAGGCCTCTATGCCACACTTTATCAAAGGCTGCCTGGATATCCAAGAATACAGCGGAGCAGTATTCCTTTTTTTCGAAGGACTGTCTTATTCTATCACACACCCGATGCACCTGTTCTACCGTAGAGTGCTGCTGTCTAAAACCAAACTGGTGTTGAGGTATTGTTAGGTTTTCATTAAGTATGGGTGATATTCTGCTCAAGAGGATCCTCTCAAACACTTTAGACAGCACAGGCAAGAGGCTTATGGGTCTGTACGACGAGGGGGGGAAGGAACAATATAAAACAAAGTAATTTCGTTTACCATTTTTATTTGTACAGATACACAATTGCATTATAAAAAGTCCAGTGAGGCTAACAATAGACTAAGCAATAAATTCATTGGAAATTTTCATAGCTAAGTCCATTAATAAAGGTAAAACATACTCATGTAATCAAACATGTATTTTAACTAAATTGACTAATATTGCTCAATTTTCCAATATAAATAGTAGAATACTATGGAAAAATATAAATAACAATTCAAAGTTCTCATTATTTATTCTTTTATATCTTTACATGTATTTTACAAGGAAAATGTTAAAATAGACGATATTTTATTGCATACCCTCATTTACAAATGGCCCATATAAATTGCATTAGTATGAAAGTATAATAATTGTTAATTGAACTTACGAAAACAACAAAAAATAGTATTTATTTAGTCTACGTAATACGCCTACCTAGATTATAACCGGGTTCTATAATCAACAATTATTTCTGAAGTTTTAATCATGGGTTTCAATAGTGCTTGGTCAAATACAAAAAAAACTTGATTTTAACCGTGTATCTGTCCCTGTCTACCTTCAAATTAGAACGGGACATCCTATTATAATTACTCAGAATGTTACAAATAGCATACCGTTCTTATAATAGAAAGGGATAGAGAGACGATCCTTTGAATACAGAAACCGGCCATTAGTCAAAAGTATTTGTAGGTTATGGTTTACTAACAATTCTTACTTCGTAAAAAATGGCGCTAATATCGGTAGGTAAAAATTACGCATGCTAACGCAGTAGACTCTCAAACACAATGCGTTTATTATTATATTTAACAAGTAATATTATGTTGAGTTTATTTGTATTTAAGCCCATTAAGGTCTATTACACTCGCATGTATTAAGAAGGTAATAACAATTCCTTAAAGATTGCAAAAACAAACAGAGATCTTATAAACGCCTTTGTATTAAAAATTACCTACTTTAATACGCAACAAGTACACGTTATGAGTACATAAGGACCTTCTGGATATTATACTCACTCATATTTTAATGTAACAGACTTGATTTAGGTTCCAAATAGTCAACAACGTTTGGACTACAATGTATAAAGTTGTCGTATTAAGTGCTTGTCAATTTTTTTACCACACGGTAAGCATTGCTGCCCTCTTACAAATTTAATATACTTTATAAAGTTTATTTAAACATCACAAAATATATTTCAAGATGTAATGCATCAATTTAATTTACTTACATTATAAAATATTCCCGTAAGAGGACAAAAATCAAACATCGACGCTAGGAAAGCTTTACAAAATCAAAATTTTATATAACACTAGCTGACCCGGCGAACTTCGTACCGCCTTAGCGTAGAGATTTTCTTAATATTTTTTTCCGTAAGAACCATCCTTGGACTTCCACAAACATTTAAAAAAAAGAATTATCGAAATTGGTTCAGCCGTTCACACGTGATGCCGTGACAACGCGAAACGGGTTTCATTTTTATATATATAGATACAGGTATTTTATTATGCGTACTTTATTAATTACTAACAATGACATGTAATTCCTTAGTTTGGGACATAATAGTTAGACACGATTTATTTTAATTTTTAGTGGGGGTTGAGGGCGATTTTGAAAGCTTAACCTAGCTGAGATTATGGGCATAAAACAGCGAGTGGTGAAACATTCTCATGGGAGCTCATATTTATCTACCTGAAATAAAGAAATAAAAATAATTAATTGCATTATTAAAACTATTTAATTATAGTGACTGTCAAAATTGTTGTTTACATTTACTTGTTCCTAGTATTTTATGTATTTTTTATTTTAATTGAAAAATACAGTTTATAGTTTATTACAGATTGTACAAGAAATGAGTTTTATTTATTGTCATTTTATTTTAATTAATTGTTAACACCTCACATTCTGCATTTGTATTTTTTATTTTCTTTCACAAATTTTTTTCTTTCAATTTGGTCAGATTAAAGACTAGACAAAACAATTACAGGTAATATTATTTACTTATTTAAAAAAGCCCAGGCAAGCCTTCATCCCAGGGCCCCGGGGATTCAAGGGGCCCCCAGCTAAGTCAAGTCAAAGTCAAAAATAGATGATAATGCATAGTTTAGTGGGCCCCTAAGTAGTATTAGCCCAGGGCCCCCTAAACACATGGTCTGGTCCTGCCTGAACTAGCGATTTGCGTACCTTACTACTCCGTCTTGCCCTGTCTAGTGGTGTATAGAATACATAATTGCAATAGTTCTTGAGTGGCGAGCACGAGCCGGAAGACGTAGTGTGGGTAGGCCCTCCCACTAGGTGGACCGACGATCTGGTAAAGGTCGCGGGAGGAGCCTGGATGCGAGCGGCGCAGGACCGGTCTTTGTGGAAATCCTTGGGGGAGGCCTTTGTTCAGCAGTGGACGTCTTTCGGCTGAAACGAATGAACGAATAGTAAAAGTAAATTATGGGTATCACTTACCTCTTCTTAGGGACCTCCTCCTTGGCTTTCTTCTCGGCCTCTCTCCGCTTGGCAGCCTCCTCTCTCTGCTGGCGGATGATTGCCAATCGGGCCAGGTCTGCGCGGGCCTGCTCCGTCTTGCCTTCTGCGTGGGCCTTTTGATACGCTGCGGCCGCGCGTTGCCTTTCAATTTCTTCGCGTTCACGCCTGGAAGTGAGATATTGATTGTGTTAAAACTTGATAGTAGCATAAACGATATTAAAAAAGTTGCCACAGACTAGCGGCCGCCAGCGACTTCGTACACGTGGATCCCATTTTACCCCCTTAGAGGTTGAATTTAGCAAAATCCCGTCTTAGTGAGCACCTACTTTCTAAAAGGAACCCCCATGCAAAATTTGACACTTGTAGTTTCTGAGATTTCGTGATGAGTGAGTGAGTCAGTCAGTCAACCAATCAGTGAACTTTCGCTTTTATAAATTTAGATGATATAATAATAAGTACACCACAACAAGAACAAAAAAAGAAACAGACACTACAATTTAGGTGGTCTTATCTCTTCTATCTATCTGATCTCTTCCAGACAACCTATGGAGAGGACAGCTGCATAAAACAAGTATGAAGAGGAAGGCGGTGTGAAGGTGTGAGAAAGTTGGAGCAAACAAGTTTTTAAATTAACCAATAATCTCATTATCATCATTTCAGCCACAAAACATCCACCACTGAACATAGGCCTCTCCCAATGATTTCCATATCGCCCAGTTGGTAGCTGTCTGCATCCAGCGCTTTCCTGCTACCTTTATGAGGTAGTCGGTCTATTTACCAATTATTTTATTATTAATTTATCTTAAAATTTCTTACCTAGATAATTGAGGTTTCTCTCCTTCTCCTAAGCTAGTATTCAAATTAGATAATTTCTTATTTTTCTTTACTACTCGGTTTGGATTTTCTACTTCAATAAGCCCAGAGACTCCTTTTGCTTTAGTAGGATGCTGAAAAAATAAATTTTATTATTAAACAACAAAGTTATGTAGGCATTTTCAATTTAAACAATTATTTAATATTTTTGGGAAATTATTATCCAATGTAAGTAATCTTTTAGACTGAATGTACTGAATGGACTTCAGACATGCAAATCAAATTACCTTTTTACAATGACGATAACATTTCAACAGACAGTTTATCTTAGTTTTTTAATACAATAAAAGCTCTCTAACTTAACAATTGCAATTGTTACATTTTAGTTCCTCAAAAACTCAATTCTCGAAATGCTTTGTTTTAAAATATAATGTCAAAGCGTTTTCTTACAATCTCCTTCTGTTTATTACTAACACACGATGGTGCATAACGCACTAAACTTACATCCTCATCGGAGTCACTTTCATCACTACTTCCAGACCCTGATTTGTTATCTCCAGACTCTTCCTCTTCACTAGAGCTGTCTGCATGTTCTTTCCTCCATCTGGGAATTTAATCAGATCACAATTTAACAACTATTTCGCATTTGTTTTCTAATTAGAATAGAATAAAACATCATCTGTAAAAGGATGATGCAACATGACAACTTGTTCTTGTTAAAAAATTAAGTTTTACCAAATTGTTTAATGTTTCTTGATATAATTTATGTTTAAATAATATTTTCAACAATGAAATTTGTGAATCACTTTCTATTTCAGTTCTGTAGAACTCAATTGACATACATACTGAGATTATTACTAACTTTTGTTTTAGCTCTTCCTGCTTTCTCTGTTCCTCAAGTTCTTCAGGGCTAGTAAATTTACGGTTGCGACCTTTATGGTTGGTATATTTACCTGAAAACAATCAGATTGCAAACATCAATTTGTAGGTTAGAGACCAAAATAAACTGTTGTTAGTCATCAAATAATAACATTGTTAAGTATGGGAAATTACTACCTCTTCATACAACAATTTTTAAACAACGAAAACGGCAGCATTATTGCTTCAAATAGGCATAATCTTTCACCACATTCGGAGATATCATTGGACGACATTGAAAGAAAAACAAGAATTTGACTGAGATGCACTTACCACGCGGCATGATGAATTTAGCTGAAAGAACGATTAGGTTTCAGATTATGATGGTAGTTGTATTAGATTTTACTGCGTGGTTTGAGATGGAAACCAAAATCACCAAAATATTAGAAAAATAGGATAGTTTTGGCGTTGACGTCTAACAGGAAACGGATATCGGCATTTAAAAGTGTTGCTAGCGCTAAAACACCTTTCCCTTCGTCAATAAAAATGAATGTTAAACATTTTACAAAGGTATGTAATAAAATTACTTTATTAACGACAGAAAATCAAACGCTTAGCGCTTTACTCACAGCCAGTAAGTAGATTATGTGATCGACTCAGTCATTTTAGTGTTATCAAAACCAAAAGCTCGGGTAGAAGTTTATTGTTATCGCATCTTTAATCGCAGGACTACCTTAAAATAGATAAATATTGATTACGCGTAAATAAATTTCCTCAATATATATTTCTTTTTTGTATTTTTCATCAAGATGAAAAATAGAACATGATTCTTCAATAAGTACGTATACATATTTTTTCCTAGTGAACAGGGTAAAAATACTTTGCTGGCAACTCCGATGACATCATCAATGTTGTCAGACTTAAAAATATTAACAATAACCACAGATTATGGATAGAATAACGGTTAATTTAGCGTTATAAATAAAATAATATTATTATAGAATCATAAGAAAAAAAAACTAATAAATGGACGGTGCAAATTATACCCAAGCTCGTTTAATTTACACAGAGATTTGCACACACAAGTAGGTAAATCATATAAATCATGAACATAAAAATATTACAATGGTTATGGTTATGGTTTATTTTGTGTTGGGGTAATTGATTTATGTCGCCTCCTAAATTAATATTAGTTCGAAGTCTGCTATTAAAAAAAATACTTTCATGAACTTCCTGGCGGGAAAGTGAAATAAAAAGATCCGTGTTTGGAACAGATTAAAAGGAAATTAAACCGAATAATATGCCAATTATCGTACGGACAACAGCAAGTCGTTTTAATGTTGCATTTAAAGATGTGTCGTTATGGGTTTTTGAAATAACTAAACGCGACGGTTTTCGAATCACGAATAACGTTTTCAAAACTAGTTTTTTTTAAACGAAGTTATTTCCACAACTCTCAAGCAAGCGTGATAATTATAACGTTAGGTGTTTGGTTAGCTGCAAGGCATTTAGGAACTTATGACCTTCAAAATAAGACTCAAATTCAATTGAATATCTAACGTACGACGAACATTATACCTATTTCATCCACACTTCTGTTAACGTCCTATGGCTTTCTCACTCGCACACGCACTCGTTTCGTTGCGATCCTTATTAATTGGACACCATACATTACTCGCTTTACTCCTATAGGTTACAAAAAAATATGTTTAAAAATCGTCAATGTACGACGTTGTCCTCAAATCTGTACCCCCNTTAATGTGAACGTGACATGCACGGATTTAGTTGTGCTGGCTTTTATTCTCCATTTCTGGATCCATTCGTCGACTTTGTCAAGGCTATTTTGCAAGACGGCGGATGCTGCAATTGGATCCTTGCTGCTTGCTAGGATTGCAGTGTCATCAGCAAATGTAGCCGTTGTTACATCTTGTGTTTCTGGGAGGTCAGCAGTGTAGATAGTATATAATACGGGGCCAAGCACAGATCCTTGTGGAACTCCCGCCATTACATCTTTTATAACAGACAGTTCTCCGTCCTCTCTCACCTGGAAAATTCTGTTTGTGAGGTATGACTCCATCAATAGGTAAAAACTATGCGGTAGGTATGTTTTTATTTTGTAGAGGAGGCCTCTATGCCACACTTTATCAAAGGCTGCCTGGATATCCAAGAATACAGCGGAGCAGTATTCCTTTTTTTCGAAGGACTGTCTTATTCTATCACACACCCGATGCACCTGTTCTACCGTAGAGTGCTGCTGTCTAAAACCAAACTGGTGTTGAGGTATTGTTAGGTTTTCATTGAGTATGGGTGATATTCTGCTCAAGAGGATCCTCTCAAACACTTTAGACAGCACAGGCAAGAGGCTTATGGGTCTGTACGACGAGGGGTCCTCCGGGGGCTTTCCCGGTTTGTGTATCATTGTTACTATTGATACCTTCCATAATCTGGGAAAATATTGTACTCGAAGCATACCGTTAAAGAGAACGACCAGGAAAACCAATGCCTTCCTGGGGAGTTGCATGATAATTTCTTTTGTAATGAGATCGAATCCAGGGGCCTTTCTGTTTTGTAATCTGTATACGGTTCTCTTCAGTTCCCCAACTGTGACCGGTCTTGCTTATTAGGAATCAAACTCTGGATCAGAGATGATGATGTCAAGCTATATTGATTGCTTTTTGCCTACAGAAGGATAAATGAAAGTAAAGTCATAAAATGCATTTGTTTTCAACAAAGAGGCTTTTAAAAACCCTACTTTTATTTTGGGACATAAATAGGTCAGTGCTGAGAAGAAGCAGCGCAAGATATTTAGCCACCCTTGTCAGCCTCTTCTTAAATCATAAATAACTTGAAAAAATCGAACTGCCTAAGACGGGAATCTTCTTAAATCAATAGAGACATGATTAACAAGACATGTTATACTTGCGAGCTAAGCAGATAAAGTCCAGCAACACATGCCATTTACATAATTATTTACTTTATACATAGTATCCATTCATAAGGACTTACGTAGTTAGTTTTGCAGGGCAATCGAATATTGCACTTAACCTTTTGATTAGACCATTGTGCGCTATTTGATCTTCCTATTCCAACCGCTCCAGATCCCCCCAGGTAGCAGCAGCCTATCTAGGTCTCTACAGGCCTTCTGCAGCGACCCTGGTGATTGGAGAATTTGAGCCTGTTGATCTGCTACGCTTCTGCACTCCTTGTGCACGTGCTGTGGTTTTTCTTCTGCCTCCATGCATCTTCTGCACATCAGGCTGTCTGTACAGCTATACTGTGTAGGTGTTTGTTTAACATACCTGTTATTACACTTAGGACCTTGCGGATGTTGTCCCTGTTAAGTCTTATGAGTCTTTAACTTTTTCGATATAATATCCACAACTGCATCTTTTGTTTGCCTACATCTTTCACAATCTTTCCATTCTGTGTGGTGTTATTTTTCTATTTTGGAGCGCAGCCAGGTCTTGATCTGTGCTTATGGTATCGGCATTATAATTGTTCCGGACCAAATACCGTCGTGTACGATCCCCTTCTGGCCAGTTCATCTGCTGCGTCGTTGCCCAAGGAGTTACTGTGTCCTTTGATCCACTTCAGGAGTGCAGGGTAACGCCATTTGCATCTGCAATGACTTAGGAGCGCGTCATGGCATTCCAATATAAGTATTATAATGTAGTATATTAAGTTGCTTTGTATTGCTTGCACTATCTGAGATTATTTTTATATTCAGACCTCGGATGTCTATGGTTGCAACCGCCTGTGCTGCTCTGATTGCAATCTGCTTGGAAAATTGTATTGTGTTTATCAAGTGTTGTTGATATTCTTAGTATATTTAGGTAATTCGAGAAGACACCAGCTCCCGTACCTTTTTGGGTTTTGGAGCCGTCAGTGTAATATCCTAACTTCATTGATTCCAGAGCAATCTTGCGTTTCCGCTGTAAGCTGGATATTATATCTTCAGTCGAAGAGTGAACACAGGGAATTCTGCCGATAGGTGCCTCGGTGAGAGGTATTTCTTTTATTAGGGTTTTGTGCAGGATCGTGGAATGTCCTGTCTCCTTGTTTTGCTTCTATATGCCGTTCTTACCTTTAAGTCTTAGAGCGGCTGCTTGCGCTTCCTCCTGAATGATGAGGTCTAAAGATCTGAGATTCAGAAGGTACTCAAGTGATGTCGATGGAGTGGTTCTCATACAACTAGTGGCCGCTATGCTTACTAGGCGTTGCAGGCTTTGGAGTTTTGATCTTGCTGTTGATAGTTGTGTTCTGTGCCACCACACAAGTGATCTATAATATTTTGTGTAAGAGGGCCATATAACCGACGTGTAGAGCCAGTGTTATCTTTGGGTTGAGACCTCATCTACTACCAATGAGTCTCTTGCACTGATGGAATGCTATACAGGCCATTTTTATTTTGTTCTCGACATGACTCGCCCAGTTCAATTTATTGTCTAAGGTGATGAGTTTTGTTTATAAAGAGTTCTGGTAGTTGGAGCTCTTGTAAATTCTATAATGCACTTATTAAGTACTTTTATTGACAACGTTAGGCACTATGAATTCAATTATATGTTTTACTAGTAGATGTTAACCATTATTTATTAAAACTATTAACTAAAGTTCTTTGATTTATAAACTACGCATTATGTTTTCCTTTAATCTGACAATTGGGCTAAGTTATATCATTTTACACCAAATAATTAACCAAATCATTAGTTGCGATTTTCAAATGTTTTTGATCTAAGTAACTGATAACATTTTACACATGTACGAAACTTTTGTGGTTAATGGTATTAGTCTAATTGAATCATTATACACAAAATAAATAATCATTTGTCTTTTACTTTTTGTGCTATAAATTAAGTTACATTCTTTTTCACCAACCAACAATACATAGTTTTTTTTGTGTATATTAATATGAGTCATCTTATATTGTTAATCACAAATTCAATCTGAACAACTTCAATCGTGTAAAAAGTAGTAACACGAGTCGTACCTCTTGACACAATAAAAAATTGAAAGAAGCCTCCGGTACACTTTGTTAGAAGTAGACATGTATCAATATACACGAAAGAAAACTCAAAATTGGTTCACAAAGCCTTACTTGTATCATTTGGCACAAAATTATTTTCTTTTCTATACGTCGTAGAAACATACCGATTAGATACAAAAATAGCTAATTTTTCATAGATTCACATTATGTTATACAGTCATTTTTGATCTAAGTCGAGTTAGATCCCTTTTCACTGGGGGGTCAGAAATCTGTCATAACGAAGCGGGAAACACGTTATTTTTTATGTCAACCAAACATCTACCTTATGTTGTTTGATTAAGAGTGAATTCAGTTTAGCTTTAGAGCGTTGTGGAAACAATCGTGTTGAATAACGAAGAGATTCTAACGTTGTATGACGTTAAGAAAAAAACTAGTTTAGGCGTTTCTGGATAACGAGTGATCACTGGTCAGGCTGATCACTCGTTTAATAACCCGTGATAACGAATAACGCCCATCGCTAGTT